TGGGGAGGAACAGGTGGGACGGACGCGGGGCGGCTCATTCATTGCCCGAGCGCGGCTCTCCCTGCGGCGGCTGTCCCTCCTCCTCGCCTCTCGGGACCCACCTGTCCCCGCCCGGCCCCGAGTCGCTTCGGGACCCGAGAGGCTGGAAGGGAGGAAGGAGTTTAGAGGAGAAAGGGAAGCTTTTCGACGACGACTTCCTCTTGGGTAGTGGCATACTTGGGTCTTCAGCATCTTGGCGCCTCTCTCTTTTTTCTCTTTCTAGAGTAGGGACGGGACATTTATTTCTTGGTTTCTGAGCGGGAAACAGCCCCACCCCACCCCTCTCCTCGGGAGGTGGGGCGCACTGCGTGGGGGCGGCCGGTCGGAAGTGAAAAGTTACGGGCTTTCGGTTGGGGCGTCCTAGACCAGGATTTTCGCCGAGACTGAAGCGCATTAACACCAGTGGAAAAATTTAGCAACAGAGAATATAAGAACTTTTGAGATGGATCCTTTGACATTAGCTCAAACCCACTTATTCTCTACATTTCGAATGTGTGCAGTTGGCTTTTTTTTCTTCTTCTTCATTGTCATAAGTGCAATGATGTTTGGAGGGACTGTTTAACTTGTAAAATATGTTTTGTCGCCTTGGCGCTATAATTAACAACATTATAGCACATTTTTTTTGTTTGGCATTTATGTGTGGGTTGACCCTTTCATGCAAACATTTCTTTGTGAAAGGATTAACTGTATTTGCCAAACTAAAGACTTTAAAGTTTGGGGTGTGTGTATGAAAGTGTTTGCTTTCTCTCTTGCAATTTAAATTTATTTCACTTGTTTGAAAAGTAGAACAACTCTGGGGATCCAGTTTTTCTAGAAATAAGAAAGAGAATTCCATGTTGAAATAACTTTGATTTTGCAAAAATATTCATATGTAGTACACACATTTAGTCGATGCATGATGAAAAACATCAGAAAGTCACATCCAGTACCATGTAACTCTTAGTTTCCTTGAAATTCTTATTGCTATTTTTGTTTTGTTTTAGGACGAATTGGAGTGTCAGTGGGACTATAATATAGTTTTGCCAGAACAATTTATTTATTTTTAAACCTTTTAAAAGACTAATTGGTGTGTAGGTTTGACTATGGAGTTTTAGATGGAGCAAATTGTTAATATTTTGCTATATTTGTTATCTCGCTCCCCATACTTACAAGAGTTAAAAGTAAGTTGCAGACATAATAGTTCATTCCTAAATGCTTCAGCAAGCATCTCCTAAGAATAAGGCCATTGTTCTATAAAACCATAATGCCGTTATCAATTATCAATCATTCCCTAATATTGTCTAATACCCAGTTCATATTCAGTTTCTCCCAATTGGTAGGGGTAGCACTTAAAAAAAAAATCAAACTTTAGGGTCACATGTAGTTTTAACAAATAATACGTTGAGATGCCTTGTACCCATTACCTAGTTTCCCTAATGCTAATGCCTTGTAAAACTGTAGTTCAGTATCATAACACTGATACTTTCTACCAGTCTTATTCATATTTTTCTATCTTACTTGTACTAATTTGTGTATTTAGTTCTGTGCAATCTTATGTGTAGATTATATAACTATCACAATAGTCAATATACAGAACAGTTCCATTAGAACCACACCTCCTTCCCTCCTATCCTCTCTACCCCCCAAACTCTGGCAACCACTACTAATCTTTCTATAGTTTTGGCATTTCAAGAATGTTTACTAAAAAGTACTGTACATAACTTTTAGGATTGGCCCTTTTTATGCAACATAAAAGATTCATCCAAGTTGTTGGGTGTATCAATAGTTGTTCCTTGTTATTGCTGATGAATTCTGTGATATGGATGTACCACAGTTTAATTATTCCATAGGATAACAATTTTTGATTAAGCATCAAACAGTTTTTTTTGGTGGTGATAGTGGAGTGAACATTTAAGTTCATTGCTAAAGTTAAAGTGCTAAAGGATTTATTGGGATAGGTACATGCAGAAGAAAATTGAAAATCACTAACTGAAAGAAAAGGTGATATAATGTCCTTATTCTCTTACATTGGAATAATGAAAATATTACTAACCAAAAGTATAATTAGTATTTGTTTTTTCAAAATTGTTTCTGCTTCCTCAGTTGTAGTTAGCTCTTTTGACTAACTTTTTCCCCCAAGTAAGATAAAGGAGAAGTTGGGCATACTCTAATGCCTTGTAATCAAGTGGTGCTTAGGTTAGTAACTTAAATCATTCCAGTGGCATTCAGCTTTTGAGCTACTACTTTCTTAGTTGTACCATACTTATTTGTAGTAAACTGTGTAGGAAATGAAATTAATTTATGTTTTACAATTTCAAAATAATAAAGTATTTGCCTTAATTTGTCAAAGGAAACCTGGTTTACACATCAGTTTACAAAAAATTTCAGGTTTTTTGTAGTGGATTTGCCTGGCTTGTTCTAGTCGACTTGATATCTAAAATTTAATTTTGTTGCATATTTGGTCCATCTTTTTTCCCACATTACTGTTTTCTGACTATAAAACATTGTCATAAATTGGTCATAATTTCTGCAAAAAGTGTCATGTATATAATTTGTCTAATGAAAGGGTGGGAATATGAGTTTAATGTGCTATATATTATGTAGGAGTTTAGTTTAAAGAAGAGATATTTGTTTTTGCCAGAAGTGTTTTTTGTTGTTGTAATTACACTCTATTGTAACAATGTGAAAAACTAAGTCATTAAAAAATGATGGCTTTGCATACTCCTGATGCTACTTTTCACCACTTCTTAGGATATAGGTGAATGGTAAGAGAATTGGTTGTCAGGGTAAAACAAAATCCACACTTTTGTAGATTTAGCCCACTTGGAAAAGTTGGACATACTCTGTTGCCTTGCAGTCAAGTGTTGCTAGGTTGGTGACTGTTGCTGCTTTCTTCTCTCTTCTCTCTATGTTAATGTGAGTTGTAAGAAAAACATCTAACTTAGGAGTACTTAAAATATTGTACATCATTAATCTATTTTTGGATTTTTGCCTGAATGATTTATGATGTTAGTTAAAAGTCTGAAGGACAGAATTTTTCTTCCTAGAAAAGTGGTAAGAGAAGTTAGCTTAGCATAGTGATAATATTTGTGATTTACTGAAAACTTACAATTTGTACTATAATCTGTGGAGATGGAAATGCTAGACATAGAACCATTAGCTACATGTGGCTGTTGTACACTTGAAATATGGCTAATGGGATTGAGGAACTGAATTTTTAAATTTTTTTAAAGTTTTTTTTGTTTGTTTGTTTTAAAATATATTTTATTGATTTTTTACAGAGAGGAAGGGAGAGGGATAGAGAGTTAGAAACATCGATGAGAGAGAAACATCAATCAGCTGCCTCCTGCACCCCCCACCGGGGATGTGCCCACAACCAAGGTACATGCCCTTGACTGGAATCGAACCCGGGACCCTTCAGTCCGCAGGCTGACGCTCTATCCACTGAGCCAAACCGGTCAGGGCATGAATTTTTAATTTTAATGAATTTAAATTCAAATAGCCACATGTGAAGGGTTATCATTTTGGACAGTTAAAAGACAGTACCCACAGAAGTAGACATGGTGCCCTGTACGATTGCAGGGCTGGAAAGCTACTGGCCAACTGGCCTTAACTGAAGGGATTTCTTTGCTTAGTCTGCATTCTTATTCCTTTTAATAATTCTGCTTCTGATAATGTAGTTCTTTCAGAGCATTGATTTAAATATATCTTCTTTGTTCATAAAAGTGTTTTTGGACATAAAAGACTAGGTCATATAAGGGATCACATGCGAAGGGCTGTTTGTTCAAAATTTTCTCTACTGGATATTTGCATGGCTCATTTTTTCTCTTATTTCTTTTGGAATTCTGCTCAGATGTCATCTAAATGTTATATAGAGGCCTTCCTTGACCAGGAGAAGTCCCCCTCAGTCAACCTTCTTATTTTCTTCCCTGCTTTTTTTTTTCCATATCACCATCTGACAAGTTATTTATTACATGTCTTGCACAATTAAAATGTAGGTTTTATGAGGATAGAGACTTTGTTCTGTTCATTGCTCTACTCGTTAGAGTAATGTACCAATATAGATATTTAAGAAATATTTGTTACATGAAATGAGTTTTAAATCAATGACTACAGGGCAAGAAAGAAAGAGCTTTGGATTGTGTGCTTGCACAGAGATTTTTGTAGAAGGTAGTTAAGCTGAGCCTTGGCTTTGTAGAGTACATTACTATATGAGGTAATTGTAGGACATCAGGCAGAACCTGTATTACCTGGTAAGAACTTGGATGTTTCATTTATGAATGAATCATAGTATTTGTTTACATGGCCCTTGTCCCATCACAAGAGCATAAGAGAAAATTTGATTTTTTTGTTTTGTTTT